CACTCGGGCGCGAAGCAATGCACCATTTCGATCGTTTCCTTTCAAATTCCTTTTCAGTTTTACAACTTTCGTGTGAATTACAACGTCAATCGTATTCGAAGTCTCCTGGTGCTTTTCTAAACGATAATTACACCCTTGACCTCTTCAATACAAAAGCTACGAAAAGGACGCGCAATATGACAAGCGTTTGTTTAGAACAGGAATTTTTAGCGCCATGGTAACGTGACGTCACACTTTAGGACTCTATTGTGAAATGTTGTTGACAAACGTTTATATAGTTATACAACTGTACTCACCAAAGACCGCCTACTGGGAGAAGCAAAAAGTGAAGAGAACGCGAACTCCTGACGACCGCCAAGGCGAGCAATCGATCTTTCTAATTCGACTAGGATGCAGAGATGTTGCAAATCCCGAAGCTCGAGTTTAGGAGGGTGGGGATCGTGGAGGAAACCTCTCCAGTTGGGTTTTTTTACAATTTGTCAGTCAATGTAGCATGATGACGACAGAAACACTGATTATGTCACCAAACATAATTATTTGTTGGTTTGTTTTCTCCTTTCAAACACTTTGTCAAAACTGCTTAAGTATTTTTACATCCCTTTGAGTCGCCATCCCCCCCCCCCNCCCCCGCCCCCCGCCAGTGCTCCTATTGTGCGTATCGATCCTCCAATCGCTGTTTACATCCTCAGTTTCCTAGAAATTATCGGTATTCCTGCATATGATTAAGTTGAAACTGTCACGGAGACTAAAGATGTTGACATTGTATTGTTTTAAGATCTTGAGGTCAAAAGACGAAATTGTTCAAAAAAATTTCAAAAAAGAAACCGACGTTACCTCGCTTTTGCGATATTCTCAGCTATAGTTAACTAAGTGCAAACCTCTAACTATCACAAATCTTCGATGTTAGGTTTCTTACAATCGATATGAAACTGCAGTGTGCAATGAAATCCTAAATAATATGCTGACCTTTTCATTACAGACTGACTTGGTGCGTAATTTCGTCCAATTAGTTGACGGTTTGAGGTCTACGTGCCATGTAATAGCTATAAGGGTTTCCAGCACGCAATTACAGTAATAATGGAATAGAGACCAGGGAAAGCCACCCGCGCGTGTGCTGCACTTCCTGTACTCTGAGGCCAGAGTTTGGGAGTTATACTTTCTGCAATAGCAACATAAGGTAATCCATTTTTATTTAAATTATTTTCTACACGTAGCATTAAATTGAGAGCAATTTTCGACGCATTGTCTTACATTGTCTCAGTTATAAACGGCTAAAATTGTAACGCAATCGCCAACAGCATAACGTCACGTATTAATCGTATTTAACGTCTGGGCCGCCTGTAATTTATTAATTTATTTATTTTGTTTACCTGTGCGTTTATCACGGTTAGTTGCACTTTACTAACACTATCCTTTTTTTAACTACATGAGGGTAGGTTTTAGCATTTCTGTAACCTCTCACTTCAACGAGGTTGTTTCCTTGGAAACGTCCAATGCAATAGCTACAAAAAATACGCTACGGATTTTAAAAGTATTGCAGTGATAAGTCAGAATCGTATAGACCATGCTATAACTATCTAATGTATGTACTTCTCAGTGCATCAGAAAATACTGGCTTCGCACATGATCAAGACAGCAATGGCACCAACCAGTCCAACATGGCCACCGTGAGAGATTATCGTAACACTATTCCATTTTGGAGGCTTGTCTGAAATTGCCAGTGTCTGGGCCTGGTGACATGATTTATCAGAGCACAAAGCCAAAGACTTGACCCAAACATTGTAACCATCCACCTGCAAAGGAAGTGATCCGTTTTCTACTTCTGAGGCAAACTCTTGGATGGTCTGGTCTAAGTTAACGGACGTTATAGACGTAGTTACAATACCCAGAGCTTTCATGTCTGCCAAGACTAACAAAACATCAAGGTTATCAGAAGCATCATTCATATTTCCGCTGTAGGCAAGCCATTCCATCACATCTGTTTTCCACTTCAAGGTATTTGCAATGGCTTGGCCGATTCCATCTACAAACCGACTTTGGAGATCAGCCTCAGGAAGAGAATCAGTTAAACGCCTTCCTCCTTGGTTGAATTTTTGAACTACAAGTCTTGTGATTTTGATTAGCTCTTTTGTGCCTTCTTTGAAGCTGCAGCTGCTAATCTGACTGTCCACACCGCATGTTTTTTCTGTGTTCCACAGGCCTTTAAGGGATTCCCAAGCTGTGTCCAGCTTACGGAAGGATCGTTTGATGCTCCAGAAGATCTTGAAATAGTCCGAGCAATCAAGGCTGCAAATCGAGAAAACAGTGAGCATGGCATCTTTGACAGGAGTCAAGTAGCATGTAGTTTGAGAAGCCAGCGCTTTCTGTCGTATTTCGTGACACGTGGGGCTGGCCCAGGGAAGCACTAATGGTTCTAGAGTGGCTTGAAGACACTTTCGAACGTCGTATACCCATTTCTGCGCAGCAGGACTGAGTAACGCTTTTTGCTCGTCGTACACCCTGCAAAACCTCTCAGCATAATCAATTGCATAAGCGTTAGTTGCTGCTTCACAGTGATACAGCCTTACCAAACAATCACGATACCAGTCACAAGGATCACGAGGTGAACTGTAACATGATTGCGGCAGATGTCTAGCAGCTGTACTTCCAGGTGTGCAGGAGCAGTCCCTGGACACTGAGCCACTTCCTATGCTGTACACCAAGAGCATGCACTGGTACCAACAATATTCGCTTGAGGGGTTTCCACAATGGTGTCTGTCGCCACTTTGTTCGTGAATGGAACTATTAGTGAGGCAAATAACCCACTGATACTGGTTGTTGTAGGCCTGCAACTGGACGCAAGAAGTGGTTCCTGAAGGGCCTCTGAATGGGTTGCATTGCTGGGACCAAACGCCGTGTACAAGGGCAAAAAACAGAACAAATTTGGACCTCATCTGCAACGTGGGAGATTACAATTAAAAATAAAATAGTACATAAGAACACGAGGTAGTACATATGTATGCAGCTATTTGAGTTGAGGCAACAAAGACTCAAACAGCCTACAGAAAGAAAGATAGTTGCTTAATGAGAAATGATATGAGAGAAGCGATTTTGTACATTTTCTGTTTCTTCAGTCGTATGCACACACGACACTTAAGTCCGTGGTAAAGTTTAAAACGATTTTATAAAACTCAAAGACATCAGAAAGAAAATCTACAGAAAAAGATCTCGTGAATAATGGAAAAACACGGAAAAACAAATACTTCAAAAGCAAAGCCTTGCAGATGTACTCCGCAAGACATAAATACTCAAAATTCCAGTGAACGTACACTTCCAACAACATTCGGCTGGCCTTGTGGCGTAGGCTTGACACTTTCAACCGAAAGAAAGATGCCTAGTTATTCAATATTTCCATAACACCTCTTCCCTCTGCCGTTTCTCAAAACAAAGTAACCATGCCAAAACAAAATCGCGGAAAAATAATCCGTTGATATACTTGCAATCTTGAATATAAAATATTAAGACGTGTAAGGCCGGTTGCATGACCTCGGCAATGCTTTCTCTGGAAGAACGCCTCAGTCTTTTTACATAGCTGTTGTGTCACGCTATCCAAGATTCCATAATTCAAGTGAAAGGACTTCAATTACAGTTCGAATCGGCTTTCAGTCTCAGATTATACTGAAGACCGATTTGTGAACACTTAGTTTGTTGACTTTATTCGTGTTTTTCTTCAATAACTTTTACTATTTGCCGATTTGAATTCCTAATAACACGTGATGAGTCGTTGGTAAAATTACTTTCACTTTTTTTACGGAAATGCAAATTGACATATAATACTTTTGCACTGTCATGTTGCTGGCGGCAATAAGGTAAGGCATATAAATAAACATGCCCAGTTAACCTTTTCTAACTTGTAAACATCAATGACTGAAATATTAAAATTGTACTGAATTCATTTTCAATCATGAGCTCACTGGCATAAGGGAAGTTTCGTGCTGCTAAAACACCTACAATCTGAGTTCAGCTTTTATATAGACTCAATTATGTGACGTGCTGTTCTTACTGTGCATGTAAATTTGATTTGTCTCTCGTCAGTTGACCGCAGCCTCGCTTTTACTGTCTCATATGTGCGAAGTGTTTCGCTCAATTCATCCAGATTTTATAAAATTATGTCCTTGAAGTCTCCACAGCCATTCAAGACGATGCTTGATGAGCCAGTTATATCATATCCCTAGTACCTTGGCCATGTTTGCCCAACCTGCTGTAAACCACGTACGAGACAGCGCGGCTATAGTACATGAGTGATATTACGAAGAGGTAATATTTGTTGTACTTACCTTGGTGGTTAGAAAATTTATCAGAAGAGCAATAGAATAACCTACGAGCTCGAAAGCTGAGCGGAACTTCTAACAAAAAAAACGTTGACGACTTTTATGCAACTCTTATAAATTATAATTCATCTTTGTTTCCTGTTTCGTTCAATTCACCTATATTGGCCCATTGTTTACCTCAGTCTGCGCAATGAGTAGTTTTACTGCCGCATCTACAATCAGATATCTTGCGATCTGGAGAAACAGGAAAGCTTAGATGAGATTTGAATAAATACAGCGCCGATAATAATCATAAAACCAAAGCCTGCATGACGAAGTTAAACAGTGCACTCTTTGAGCTTTATATATCATTGTTCCTGTCTTAATCTAGTTTTGCAGATAAAGCAATTTTTTTTTCGTTGTTTCGAAATCATTCTGGAAGGAATTACGCTAGTTTTACCCGAAAAAAGTAAAATCCACGATGTCTGCTTTATGTCGTCCAGATTCGTCACAATCGACAGTTAATTATCCTATCTTAGGCGCTGGCCATCATATTTTTCAGGGTGGAAGGGTGTTTGGCAATTACTAAAAGCATTCCGGCTCAGGAAAAGCAAGAAGAGGATAAATGTGCAATAAGCAAGCCACGGCAATGAAATATGTATGGAACACATCGTGCTTTTCAACTTGCTGCCGTGACGCTAGACCTTGGTAACGGACGTTTTCACATAATTTTAGCTTGCATGCATGAGCTATGTGCAATTAAACATTGGTGCCCGTAAGGGCTTTTCAAGAACTCTGTCTTATCGACATTGTCGGCTTTAAAGAGTATTTCAGTGAGTGTTTTAGACTAAAGCGTGGTCAGGAAAACTCTACTTGATGCAAGTTGCAAGCTTAAACATAACGTTATTTACAAGTGCATGTGCTGTACAGTGACAGGTTATTGTGCGCGTTCTCTTCTGTTAACACCCTCAGGAGTATGTATAATAAAACAGTATTATTGAATTCAGTGTTATCAAGGCCTTGGTTTGTGTTATCCTCCTCAGACTTTGGCTTCGACAGATAACACAAACCTCGGCCTTGATTATTCTAGCCATCATGCTAAACATCCTCCAATAATATAATTATTGGTGTTTTATCAAGCCACTCTCTGTGTGTATCCGTTCCACGGTTAGTTTGCCGAGCTAACAAATTACTGTTGTCTAAGTAAAGTATTTCAGAAAAGAACAGAAACAGGACAAAGAAGTGCAATTACTGAATGATTTATTTTTGTTACCTTCTATAATGCCTGGAGTTAACGTAAAATTAAACGCAGCCTTCTTACTTGAAGTCGTATTTATCGTAACACAATTCAAAATAAGAAAACTTTACGGAAACATTTATAGCGTTACTCTACTTGGTAGTTTCAATCTTTAGTCACCTAAGTCCACATGATTAACTGTTTTAAAATTTTTATGAACTAAAAAATACATTGAAAGAATTTTAAGTTTTTCGCTCAACCAAATCAAGTCCTTTAAAGTCAAAACAAGGTTCACTGTTATCATCATGGGAGTTTTCACCATTCCTCGTTTCAAAGTTCGAAAAAGTTTGAAAAAGCTTTGATCCCAACCATTTTAAGCGCGACTCCGGAAACGAGATATTAGAGTGGATCGAAAATAAGAGGTCTGCACTGATGTCAAGTCATCTCACTAGCAGATCGATCTTAATCGACATACTGTCGCTTGCATCTAAGCGTGGACACCCGACGCCAAAACATGCTCTAATTGGGTGTCAAACGTGGCATGATTGGTCATCAAACATTTGAAGTTTAGCAGACCGTAACGCGAACTTTCGCGCTCAAAGTTCAGCGCACGAAATGGTGAAGGATTGGACATTAAAGACTTCTTCAGGGAAATTAACCCTGACCTGTGTCAATATGCATGCGCCTTTCGCGAGAGTGGTTTTACTTCTAGTATAACCATGAAATATTGCCTGGAGCAAGACTTCAGAGTCTTTCAGAGCGCGAAAGTTCGCGTTACGGTCTGCTAAACTTCAAATGTTTGATNAAACCGACGTTACCTCGCTTTTGCGATATTCTCAGCTATAGTTAACTAAGTGCAAACCTCTAACTATCACAAATCTTCGATGTTAGGTTTCTTACAATCGATATGAAACTGCAGTGTGCAATGAAATCCTAAATAATATGCTGACCTTTTCATTACAGACTGACTTGGTGCGTAATTTCGTCCAATTAGTTGACGGTTTGAGGTCTACGTGCCATGTAATAGCTATAAGGGTTTCCAGCACGCAATTACAGTAATAATGGAATAGAGACCAGGGAAAGCCACCCGCGCGTGTGCTGCACTTCCTGTACTCTGAGGCCAGAGTTTGGGAGTTATACTTTCTGCAATAGCAACATAAGGTAATCCATTTTTATTTAAATTATTTTCTACACGTAGCATTAAATTGAGAGCAATTTTCGACGCATTGTCTTACATTGTCTCAGTTATAAACGGCTAAAATTGTAACGCAATCGCCAACAGCATAACGTCACGTATTAATCGTATTTAACGTCTGGGCCGCCTGTAATTTATTAATTTATTTATTTTGTTTACCTGTGCGTTTATCACGGTTAGTTGCACTTTACTAACACTATCCTTTTTTTAACTACATGAGGGTAGGTTTTAGCATTTCTGTAACCTCTCACTTCAACGAGGTTGTTTCCTTGGAAACGTCCAATGCAATAGCTACAAAAAATACGCTACGGATTTTAAAAGTATTGCAGTGATAAGTCAGAATCGTATAGACCATGCTATAACTATCTAATGTATGTACTTCTCAGTGCATCAGAAAATACTGGCTTCGCACATGATCAAGACAGCAATGGCACCAACCAGTCCAACATGGCCACCGTGAGAGATTATCGTAACACTATTCCATTTTGGAGGCTTGTCTGAAATTGCCAGTGTCTGGGCCTGGTGACATGATTTATCAGAGCACAAAGCCAAAGACTTGACCCAAACATTGTAACCATCCACCTGCAAAGGAAGTGATCCGTTTTCTACTTCTGAGGCAAACTCTTGGATGGTCTGGTCTAAGTTAACGGACGTTATAGACGTAGTTACAATACCCAGAGCTTTCATGTCTGCCAAGACTAACAAAACATCAAGGTTATCAGAAGCATCATTCATATTTCCGCTGTAGGCAAGCCATTCCATCACATCTGTTTTCCACTTCAAGGTATTTGCAATGGCTTGGCCGATTCCATCTACAAACCGACTTTGGAGATCAGCCTCAGGAAGAGAATCAGTTAAACGCCTTCCTCCTTGGTTGAATTTTTGAACTACAAGTCTTGTGATTTTGATTAGCTCTTTTGTGCCTTCTTTGAAGCTGCAGCTGCTAATCTGACTGTCCACACCGCATGTTTTTTCTGTGTTCCACAGGCCTTTAAGGGATTCCCAAGCTGTGTCCAGCTTACGGAAGGATCGTTTGATGCTCCAGAAGATCTTGAAATAGTCCGAGCAATCAAGGCTGCAAATCGAGAAAACAGTGAGCATGGCATCTTTGACAGGAGTCAAGTAGCATGTAGTTTGAGAAGCCAGCGCTTTCTGTCGTATTTCGTGACACGTGGGGCTGGCCCAGGGAAGCACTAATGGTTCTAGAGTGGCTTGAAGACACTTTCGAACGTCGTATACCCATTTCTGCGCAGCAGGACTGAGTAACGCTTTTTGCTCGTCGTACACCCTGCAAAACCTCTCAGCATAATCAATTGCATAAGCGTTAGTTGCTGCTTCACAGTGATACAGCCTTACCAAACAATCACGATACCAGTCACAAGGATCACGAGGTGAACTGTAACATGATTGCGGCAGATGTCTAGCAGCTGTACTTCCAGGTGTGCAGGAGCAGTCCCTGGACACTGAGCCACTTCCTATGCTGTACACCAAGAGCATGCACTGGTACCAACAATATTCGCTTGAGGGGTTTCCACAATGGTGTCTGTCGCCACTTTGTTCGTGAATGGAACTATTAGTGAGGCAAATAACCCACTGATACTGGTTGTTGTAGGCCTGCAACTGGACGCAAGAAGTGGTTCCTGAAGGGCCTCTGAATGGGTTGCATTGCTGGGACCAAACGCCGTGTACAAGGGCAAAAAACAGAACAAATTTGGACCTCATCTGCAACGTGGGAGATTACAATTAAAAATAAAATAGTACATAAGAACACGAGGTAGTACATATGTATGCAGCTATTTGAGTTGAGGCAACAAAGACTCAAACAGCCTACAGAAAGAAAGATAGTTGCTTAATGAGAAATGATATGAGAGAAGCGATTTTGTACATTTTCTGTTTCTTCAGTCGTATGCACACACGACACTTAAGTCCGTGGTAAAGTTTAAAACGATTTTATAAAACTCAAAGACATCAGAAAGAAAATCTACAGAAAAAGATCTCGTGAATAATGGAAAAACACGGAAAAACAAATACTTCAAAAGCAAAGCCTTGCAGATGTACTCCGCAAGACATAAATACTCAAAATTCCAGTGAACGTACACTTCCAACAACATTCGGCTGGCCTTGTGGCGTAGGCTTGACACTTTCAACCGAAAGAAAGATGCCTAGTTATTCAATATTTCCATAACACCTCTTCCCTCTGCCGTTTCTCAAAACAAAGTAACCATGCCAAAACAAAATCGCGGAAAAATAATCCGTTGATATACTTGCAATCTTGAATATAAAATATTAAGACGTGTAAGGCCGGTTGCATGACCTCGGCAATGCTTTCTCTGGAAGAACGCCTCAGTCTTTTTACATAGCTATTGTGTCACGCTATCCAAGATTCCATAATTCAAGTGAAAGGACTTCAATTACAGTTCGAATCGGCTTTCAGTCTCAGATTATACTGAAGACCGATTTGTGAACACTTAGTTTGTTGACTTTATTCGTGTTTTTCTTCAATAACTTTTACTATTTGCCGATTTGAATTCCTAATAACACGTGATGAGTCGTTGGTAAAATTACTTTCACTTTTTTTACGGAAATGCAAATTGACATATAATACTTTTGCACTGTCATGTTGCTGGCGGCAATAAGGTAAGGCATATAAATAAACATGCCCAGTTAACCTTTTCTAACTTGTAAACATCAATGACTGAAATATTAAAATTGTACTGAATTCATTTTCAATCATGAGCTCACTGGCATAAGGGAAGTTTCGTGCTGCTAAAACACCTACAATCTGAGTTCAGCTTTTATATAGACTCAATTATGTGACGTGCTGTTCTTACTGTGCATGTAAATTTGATTTGTCTCTCGTCAGTTGACCGCAGCCTCGCTTTTACTGTCTCATATGTGCGAAGTGTTTCGCTCAATTCATCCAGATTTTATAAAATTATGTCCTTGAAGTCTCCACAGCCATTCAAGACGATGCTTGATGAGCCAGTTATATCATATCCCTAGTACCTTGGCCATGTTTGCCCAACCTGCTGTAAACCACGTACGAGACAGCGCGGCTATAGTACATGAGTGATATTACGAAGAGGTAATATTTGTTGTACTTACCTTGGTGGTTAGAAAATTTATCAGAAGAGCAATAGAATAACCTACGAGCTCGAAAGCTGAGCGGAACTTCTAACAAAAAAAACGTTGACGACTTTTATGCAACTCTTATAAATTATAATTCATCTTTGTTTCCTGTTTCGTTCAATTCACCTATATTGGCCCATTGTTTACCTCAGTCTGCGCAATGAGTAGTTTTACTGCCGCATCTACAATCAGATATCTTGCGATCTGGAGAAACAGGAAAGCTTAGATGAGATTTGAATAAATACAGCGCCGATAATAATCATAAAACCAAAGCCTGCATGACGAAGTTAAACAGTGCACTCTTTGAGCTTTATATATCATTGTTCCTGTCTTAATCTAGTTTTGCAGATAAAGCAATTTTTTTTTCGTTGTTTCGAAATCATTCTGGAAGGAATTACGCTAGTTTTACCCGAAAAAAGTAAAATCCACGATGTCTGCTTTATGTCGTCCAGATTCGTCACAATCGACAGTTAATTATCCTATCTTAGGCGCTGGCCATCATATTTTTCAGGGTGGAAGGGTGTTTGGCAATTACTAAAAGCATTCCGGCTCAGGAAAAGCAAGAAGAGGATAAATGTGCAATAAGCAAGCCACGGCAATGAAATATGTATGGAACACATCGTGCTTTTCAACTTGCTGCCGTGACGCTAGACCTTGGTAACGGACGTTTTCACATAATTTTAGCTTGCATGCATGAGCTATGTGCAATTAAACATTGGTGCCCGTAAGGGCTTTTCAAGAACTCTGTCTTATCGACATTGTCGGCTTTAAAGAGTATTTCAGTGAGTGTTTTAGACTAAAGCGTGGTCAGGAAAACTCTACTTGATGCAAGTTGCAAGCTTAAACATAACGTTATTTACAAGTGCATGTGCTGTACAGTGACAGGTTATTGTGCGCGTTCTCTTCTGTTAACACCCTCAGGAGTATGTATAATAAAACAGTATTATTGAATTCAGTGTTATCAAGGCCTTGGTTTGTGTTATCCTCCTCAGACTTTGGCTTCGACAGATAACACAAACCTCGGCCTTGATTATTCTAGCCATCATGCTAAACATCCTCCAATAATATAATTATTGGTGTTTTATCAAGCCACTCTCTGTGTGTATCCGTTCCACGGTTAGTTTGCCGAGCTAACAAATTACTGTTGTCTAAGTAAAGTATTTCAGAAAAGAACAGAAACAGGACAAAGAAGTGCAATTACTGAATGATTTATTTTTGTTACCTTCTATAATGCCTGGAGTTAACGTAAAATTAAACGCAGCCTTCTTACTTGAAGTCGTATTTATCGTAACACAATTCAAAATAAGAAAACTTTACGGAAACATTTATAGCGTTACTCTACTTGGTAGTTTCAATCTTTAGTCACCTAAGTCCACATGATTAACTGTTTTAAAATTTTTATGAACTAAAAAATACATTGAAAGAATTTTAAGTTTTTCGCTCAACCAAATCAAGTCCTTTACAGTCAAAACAAGGTTCACTGTTATCATCATGGGAGTTTTCACCATTCCTCGTTTCAAAGTTCGAAAAAGTTTGAAAAAGCTTTGATCCCAACCATTTTAAGCGCGACTCCGGAAACGAGATATTAGAGTGGATCGAAAATAAGAGGTCTGCACTGATGTCAAGTCATCTCACTAGCAGATCGATCTTAATCGACATACTGTCGCTTGCATCTAAGCGTGGACACCCGACGCCAAAACATGCTCTAATTGGGTGTCAAACGTGGCATGATTGGTCATCAAACATTTGAAGTTTAGCAGACCGTAACGCGAACTTTCGCGCTCAAAGTTCAGCGCACGAAATGGTGAAGGATTGGACATTAAAGACTTCTTCAGGGAAATTAACCCTGACCTGTGTCAATATGCATGCGCCTTTCGCGAGAGTGGTTTTACTTCTAGTATAACCATGAAATATTGCCTGGAGCAAGACTTCAGAGTCTTTCAGAGCGCGAAAGTTCGCGTTACGGTCTGCTAAACTTCAAATGTTTGATTATCAATCATGCCACGTTTGACACCCAATTAGAGCATGTTTTGGCGTCGGGTGTCCACGCTTAGATGCAAGCGACGGTATGTCGATTAAGATCGATCTGCTAGTGAGATGACTTGACATCAGTGCAGACCTCTTATTTTCGATCTGCTCTAATATCTCGTTTCCGGAGTCGCGCTTAAAATGGTTGGGATCAAAGCTTTTTCGAACGTTTCAAAAATCTAGGCTTTGGGTTATTTAGAACTAGGAGAAAAATAGCCTGACATGTGATTACACAAATATATATCGGGGCATTTTACCACTAATATTCGCACCGAGCTCGTGAAATCATACGAGTACACCGATGAATAGTCGGCCACGGGAATTGGACTTTGAAGGCCAAGATAAAATAGCAGAAACGATATCTACCTGACTGTAGCTACATTCACTTGGTTGACTAATGTAAAATCAGCATTTTATGGTTATGCTATCCAGGCTTGCAACTTGACAACGTTTAATTTAAAAGAAAAGTTTATTCGTCAACATCATCACAAAGGCAGTGATCCCATACATCCCGACGTTCCAAGGGGAGATGCTTACACCACCATTACGTTTACCAGGCTTCCGTGTAATGACAGGAGCCCATGGGCTCCTGGTAATGAGGATCTCACCAGTCACGGGTCCACCATCATCAGAAACTTTGGACGTGGTAGGGACGGGCCAAACTGGTGGTTTGTCTGAATTGGCCAGTGTCTGGGTGTCATTACACGACTTATCAGTGCATGAAGCCAAGGATTTCACCCAGACATTGTATTCATCGACTTGCAAGGGAAGGGTTCCTCCCTCTATGGCTGAGGAAAGCTGTTGGAGAGATTGGGTGAGGTTAACAGATGGGCTAAAGGAGATGACGATGCCAAGCGCGTTTTTATCTGCCAATACCATCACCATCTCTAAACTGGTCGGATCGCTCGTATTTTTAGCATCGCTTGGGTAGGCAAACCAGTCCATAGAGAAGGTGTCCCACTTTAATTCTCTTGCAATGGCTGAAGCGACTCCGTCTGCAAACTTGCGTCGAGCGGTCTCGTCTGGGGTGGAATCAGATGAACGTTTACCTCGTCGATTGAACTTCTGGAAGGTTAGTTTGGTGATTTTGATCAGTGCTTGCTCTCCTTCTTCAAAGCAATTGCGAGAACTGTTTGAACCACATTTGTCGTCAATGTTCCACAGTCCACTGAGAGATTCCCCATTTGTTTCCACGTTGAAGACATACCCTTTTATGACCCAGAAGATCTTGAAGTATTCTTTGCAGTCTAGGTCACAAATGGATGGTACGCCTTCGTCTGGTTTCATGTAGCAAGACACTTGAGATTCAAACGCTGTTTTTCCAATCTCTTGGCACGTTGGTTTGTTCCATGGACGCAGCAACGGGACTAATTCGACCTGGAGGCATTTACGAACACCATCTACCCACTTCCTGCCGTCGGAACTGAAAATGCTTTTACGCTTGTTATACAACCAGCAAATCTCTTCGGCATACCTCAGTGGGTCAGCATTGGCTGTACCTCTGCAAGGGTACTTCCTTTCCAGACAGCTGCCATACCACTGGCAACTGGTTCCAGAAGGACTGTAGCAAAAGGAAGGCAGAGATGTGGTGGGTGACAGCGTTGGGTTTGGTAATGAGCTTGGCGAACAAGAGCAGTCGCTGGTCACCGGACCGGATTCCTTGTCATGTACTTCCAACATGCACTGGTACCAGCAATAAATGGCAAACGGACTGATACAGGTGTGTCTTTGAAAGCTCTTCTGTAAAATGTAGCTATCGGTAAGGCAGGTTGCCCACTGATATTGGTTATTGTAAGAAGATATCTGGACGCAAGCCGTAGTTCCCGAAGGACCAAAGTATGAATTACAGCTCTGGGTCCATGCCTGCTGTGGGAAGAACAACAGGACAAGTACTGGCCACATTTCTCTGTGAAAAAAAGTCAACATAAAACAAATTAAGAAGGAGTCGTACGTAACGTCCGGTCACCGAGAACCTATGGTTACCAAATCCAGAAGTTGTTCGAGTGTTCGAAGCTCTCAGCTTGCTCTGGTCCATAAAGAGGGGCAGAGGAGGCGGGTAGATGCCACCCTTTCAGTTTATTTCTTTTTTTCGAAAAATTTAGGGTATTTGGATGTCAACTGTTTCTGTTTTCGGCTGAAGAAAAATCGAAATCATTTTGAAGTTCTTTTAACCATTTCATTCATTTCATTTCATAGGAGCTATGAATACTACAGCTAAGAAATGTGAGAGATGGAAATCAAAAAAGTTGAAAAAAGCTACATTTGCTTTTCAAAGAAAACGCATTTCATTTTCTGTTGCGGTTACATACGGCTAGACGTCGCATGCGATTTTAGTAGAAGCTTGCCCCCTTTTCAAGAGCCGTGAATGGGGTTAAAATCTAGAAAGATTAACATTGTAACATCCAAAGCTTTCTTGTTAACACTAAAAAAGTAAAATAATGTAAGTCCTTAAATGTTATGTCCTTCCAGCTAATAATAATCATTACGGACTGAGATGTTGTCAGTCCGATCATGTTAGTACTATCGTTTCCTAATGTGGACGTTGTTCTGTCGCACTTTGTAGTAATCGACACACTTTGTAAGACCTCTCGCACTTTGTAATAAAATTGCCGCAATTTTTAATAGCTGTTTCACTTTGTAATAACACTAGTCGCACTTTGTAATAAAAAAGCTGTCGCATTTTGTAATAAGAGACTGCCGAACTTTGTAATAATTACCGTCGCACTTTCTTATGAAGTCCGCTTGAATAATTCTTTAAATTTAGAAAGTTTGTGGGTAATCCTTAACGATGTGAGCACTCGAAGATAGGTAATACATCCCGCTTAAGTTTACAAGGGGAGAATGGCTTGAACGAAGTTCTGTTTAACGATCGATGGATGGCGATTGTATTCGCAGGCTACACTCATTTTCTGATAAGAACATGTAGAATTTGCCTAAGAATTTTCTTATTTCAGGGGGCCGCCAGGCCTGTAGTTGTCCAAGCACCGTGTTGTTATTGGCTCACGAAACAATACATAAATAATCCAAAAGAAGAAACAATAGAAGCTACAGGTTACCAGAACCAATGAAAATACAGGTCTGGAAGAGGTGCTGGACTACTCATTTCAGGCAATGCATCCTTTTAAATTTTGGGGGAAATTTCAACCTCAGATTCCTTATAAAAAAGGGTTTTCTAGAGAACAAAGTATCGTGGAAGTGGCAACTCTCATTTTCAATTTCGTATCTTATGAGTGACATTGATTTGTAGCTGTCAAAGGGAGGAAGTGTCTCATTTTCTCTTGCTTGACTGTAATAATTAATTTTCGTTACCACGTAAATTGATTCAGTGTAACCATAAAAAGAAAGAAAAAAGCAGATGAGACTATTCCGAGATATGGAACTGTTATCCAGTATCGATTCACTGAAATAAAAGAAATTTGACCTTTTAATTGCTTGCAGCCATAGGCGTACGGACACCTTCGGACTTGCGGGGGCGGTGACCTTATTGCCCGAAGAAAATTACACAATGCCCGAAAGCGTGAGTGTTGTTCAAACGCACTCAAATCGCAGTAAAAACAAAAACGTTCACAATTCTCACGTCTAATGAAACTGTTATCATTCCAGAAATAGTTATTTTGAAACCTCGCATCAGTCTATGACCTCGATAGACAGCCTAGAAAATCAGAAACTTATAAAAGAAACAGTTAATGGCTTGCTGTCGGAGAAAAATCATGTTCGTCTGGAGGTCTCGGAGCTTTTTCCGCTGGCTGAATACCCTGAAGATTCTTCTCTGAAACGAGCCCGATTTGAAGGAAGTCAGACGAGCCATCGTCCACTACAAAACAAAAACATTTAGTATCGTTTGGCAATTCTAAACGGGGAAATTCTATAATAATTTCAAGCTGCCGGGTATCTTAAAGTTTTATATCGAAACGACTTTTTGTTTCGAAACGACCGGACACCGAATTGGTTGTTAATTCGTACGAAAAGTTCAAGAAAATTTTTAAATGGCCCTTTGTGGAGCCATTCAAAATGGCTCTTTTCAGAGCCACCACAAAAACAAAAGTCTTGGTCTTCGATCGTTTGCTCAAAGTTTTTAGAGGGAAACTGGTTATGAAGCCCGGCAAATATCAAAGGAGCAAACAAAGATGCCAAGATTTATGTTGGGAGGTTCAAGACCGTGTACAATCATTTGTTTTTCGTTCATACACTATACATGAATTACGTAACCAAAACGTTTCTCTATATTGGTTGGTTCCTCAGTACGAAGTAAACAACTACTGTGTTTTATGCACGGTCAAGGCCAAAAAAGGGAACAAAAACCTAAAACAAAGAAATTTGTCGGATTTCATAACCATTTCCCTCTATTAACTATGGTTTGCTTTGATTCTTTTGTTATTGTTTTTGTGATGGAAATAATTTTCCACGATACAGATTTAAACGATATATGGCTTTTCCAAAACAGAATACCTGGATCCTTTTATCAAGGCAAACGTCACAGAAAGTAGCCTACAAGCCTGGCCTTGGCAACCTTTCAGAATGATTTCTCCCGAGTACTTTTGCCCGAACCATCAGCGTTTTGCCCGAAAAATGTCAAAAATTTCTGAAACCGGGGGAGAGGGGCTGCAAACCCCCTTCCCCCCCCCCCCCCCCC